ATGTAATATGTGTCTAGCAATGCTTAACAGACAACTAGAACATATATTTACTACAAGTATAAATCGATTAAATTCTTGAGCCTCTCTTGGTAGGTGTCTTGCCTATAAAAAATGCATGCATCGCTGAGTAAAAGGCACAGTATATATATACCACCGTACGTATTACTTACCACCATTCATGAATCCGCAAGAACAACTTCGGATTCATACCAGATATACACCCGTGTTCTGATTAAACTTATAACAGCACCACCGATTGTGCATCCGGCGTACTTCTTATGTCGCTGTTATTCATGGCGCTCTTGAGCCAGCAATAGTTGAGATCTGTTCCCTGCGGGCCTACGTTGTACCAGATAGCTCCCTTGCACCGTGAGGTAGTAGCACATAGCGACACACACTCCTCCATCGTCTGCGCCTCGGGGTTCGTGATGTCTTTGCCCTGGTGCGCAACGTCGCACTCGATCCTGAACTGGGCCCCGGTGCCTGGGTCTGTGTACGTGCTTCCGTTTTCGCCCAGACAGTACCCGTTCGATTGTGCTGGCGTGGAACTGGAAGTAGGGTTTGAACTCGTGCTTGTTCCTGGCGTAGTAGTTGAACTTGGCGTAGCAGCTAAGTTTGTCATCGTAATTGAGCTCGACATAGTCGTAGGTGAAGCCGTTGACTACATTAGGTTAGGAGTTGGCAACAGCTTGATATAAAGGGGATTTTCTCCCATTGTCTTATAATGCTTGGCTTAGTAGAGAATACACTTACAGTCATGAAATCGCTCGTCGCAGTTGTCGGGGTAATTTGCGTCGCGGTCGAGAACGTAGATAAGGAACTGCTCTTTACTTCCTCTCCGCCTCCTATCGATGATTGCGCTGCCGCTCTACGGAAAGCGAAATCTACGTTAGACTTCCCACTTCTGGAATTGAGAGTCGCAGAGTACGACTTACGAGTTTTTAGCCGAGCGATTGCTCTGTATCACACCAACTGCCGCCCCGACAGCTACACCTATGAGCACTACCACTACCAAACATATTAAAATTGGCCAGAAAACTCTCCTCCGCAGTCCGAGTATGGTAGGTGCTTTGGGGGCGGCCACGACCTTCTGCTCCATTTCGGTGTTCCAGCTCTTAGGTTCATCTTCGCGATATATATCTGTAGAGCTTATCACCTGAGGCCCCGAGAGGACCTCCAAGCCCGGCGGTACCTTTCGTGGATCTTGGTAGCCAACTTCTATCCCCTCATCTGGGCGGAGTACCTCCGGTGCCTGGTCACTGTCACGCATGCCGCCACCGAGGATTTTGAATCTCTTCTTAGTCTTCGCGACGACGCTCTCTGAGGTTGGTGAGTCTCTTCCGCCCTGACTTAAATGGCCTTCCTCAGCACAATCCCAGCATACCGGCGTGCTCGTTCTATCTGAATGCGGACAGGTTATTATTATCTTCAAATCCGTAGCCGAATTGCTTGTCATCTCTGTTTATCCAATCGCGCTGTATAAACCGAAGATGAAAACTCAAATTGCGCGTTATATCGACATGACGGTACATACATCACCGAGCAACTCGGGATTTCAAATGAACCTATGCTGAGGCAAACTGACTAGTACGAAGAAAGAGGATTGACGAAAGCTGAAAATTCGGCCTTCTCATTGATGGCGAACATCTAAGACTTTACGCGCTGGGTACCATCGTCCCAGTTCAGAACCACGCGGCCCCTCTTTTTAACCGAGCGCAATCCTCTAGAAAACCCATCAGGTGCCATTGGGTGCTGGGCGTTAAGCCTAATCCAATATAGATCTTTCTCCGGATGTTACGCTGATATCCTCGATTGCAGCTTTAGCTCCAAATGATGCAGAGATGGAAGAGAAAGTGTACGATTAGCACGAGCTTCAGTCCTGAGCCAGCGGTATGAACATTACCACGGATTGCAACGTCCCTGTAAGGCTGATGAAACTTCAAGACATGTATGTATCTTCAAGAAGACACTCGAAAGGACGGTAAAAGATCGCACATTCTTTTGCCGTACTTGAACTTACCCCTATTCGAGGCGGGACACTCCAGATAAGCTATTTTAGACTAACCGTACAGCCATCCGTGCCTCATGTGTGCATATTCACGAAGTCCTGGCAGTAACCTTAGGGAAGGCCAATAGCGAGCAGCGAGGTCTGCTATTTTAGTCTCGTACGAAATCTTGGAATGAGTTTACCACCTGAATCGCCCCAACTCAGACGGCTGTCCTCGGTTCGCAACGACTTGGCAGAATATTGGATCTTCGATATCGCACCGCTTCTTGGCTTCGTGCCCAGATCTATAATCTGATAAGAATGCCGCGGAAGGCTACCGGTCAAACATTTGATACCGCATCCTACTGTAGTACCCTAAGTGATGAAGGGCTAAGTGAATTTGGCGTTTGTATTTGCCTATTACGTCATCTGGTTCATTGTTACCACCAAATTCTTTACAGGAAGATGAAGTCGCCTCGCCGGCGACGCCATTGACAAATATGCTGGGAACTTATACGATGGATGGCCTAGCCTTAGGTACTTCGTTGTGCTCCTATAACATTTGCACAAAATGAAAAGTAAGTTGCATCAATTCCAACCTTAATGTAAGTCAAAGAAACACAATGCATACGGTTTGCATCACGTTGTCGTGGTCTTATCAGTCGGCCACGTAGAAATCAAGAATCGACGGCGGACCGAATTTCATGAGAAGGAGAGAAAAACTTAACTTTACGGGTTAATGGATGGGTTTACAGGACAATTCCGCATATTACGGTGGAGATGCTCCCCAATTAGCCAGTTAGCACAGTTTTATACGCACTCCGACGGTTCCAATACCGTTCCATCTGCAGGCGCTAGGGCCAACATTATGACGCGAAAGCTTCCGCGTCTAATTCCATCTCAGATTCAATTCTCACTCTCAACAACAAAGTTTCAGTTTTGGTTTTCTGTAATTAAGTGCAGTATGATCAGGAGAGATTATGGATACTCAAATGCTGAGGCTATCGGATGAGAGCAGCGTTACTGGAACGAGCCTAGAGTCGTCAGCGACCCCTGCAAGACTCCCGGCTAACGGCCGGAAAAGTGCAACGTTCGCTACTGCGCAAAAGAACAGCGCGCCGAGAGTGCAGGCAGCGGAACGAGACGGCTGGGAGTGAGTTAGGCCTTGATATGAGCAGTCCATAGCTTTCTTATCGCTGATTGAAACCCAGCACTATTGAGCACATCGTCGCCAACACTGTCCGCAGTCACACAACCGACCCGGAACAGGGCGATGGCTTCCTCTGCTCCGAATGCGGTCAGACCCTCTGCAACCTGTATGCCTTGTCTAGGCACAGGAAAACCAAGCACGGCTTAGGTCGACAATGGTGTTGTCAGAAGCCAGACTGTAAGAATCGCTTTAAGCCCTACGGCCGCTTCGACCAGTTTAAATGTCATATGAAAAAGGAGCATAACATTGAGCTGCCGAGTAAGGGTGAGGCTCGGGACCGTTACCTCCTAAGCTCTACCGAATTTCAACGTGACAAAAATCAACGCCCGCATCACGTGTCCAGCAAAATAAATGATCCCTTTCTGGTACAGCCCAAGAAGGCCGAGCCTCTCGTGATAGCGGAAGAAGATATTGCATCAGCCAGCCGCGACGACTTGGTGCAAATGCTTCAGGCCCAGATGCGAGAGTGCAAGCAGCTCCGTGAGCAGTGTAAGGTCTTTGCTCTAGAAAGAGACGAGTACGCCGAGGCTTTGAGACTATCTGAGGAAATGAGGGCACAGCAAGATACCAAAAGTCGTCAGGCGCTAGAGATCCTGTACAGCCAGTTCAAACTACCCTAACAGCTCCAATAAGTTCTCCTATACCTAGAACTTCACCTTTGGCACGAAAAGAACTCGAAAAGGCTCGATCTACCCTTACGATATTTTACGAAGGTGATGAGCTGGAACTTCATCGACTTTATATCGGTCTATCTAACATGTAGTCTCCAGGGGTCTAACGGGGCACGACGACGACACAGCTTCAAAGTTAAGCGCAAGTGTTAGCCATCACTGGCTTCCATATCTACCAGAACAGGAACTGGGAAATAGATTGCCTCGGAATTGCTTGCCAATTGGTTTTGACAGCTTCCTTTCACCACATGCAGTTTCTTCGCTCCTGGAGAGGGCATAGAATGAGAGGCGCGCGCGCAATAGGGCGGGTCCACCAGTCTATAAATGCCAGTCGAGAGCGAGGCCCTTTATCACATTACCACGAGGATGTCGTCCCAAAGAGTCGGACAACGCAAGTAGTTTTAATACTATGCAAATATCTAGCTAGAGATCCACATCGGAATAGCAATGCCGAATGCTACTTCGCCTGCCGGAACTAGGAATTACGAACTTGTGATGCTTCCTGGCCAAAAAGTCCAGACCCCTGCCAAGTGAAAGGAATCCTTCGTGCAATCAGCCCCTGTCTTATGTAATACATATCGAAGACAACCTCCTTACCAGCACCAGCAGCTTATGAGTAGACGCTGAAGGGGTTTCCGGTCTCGACAACGTCCTTCTTTACTTAACATAAACGGCTGTGAAAATCACGCAAGCGGTTCAATTTCCGTATGGAAGGCGGCCACGCCGCTGTGCGATGGGACGTCCCCCGACTACAGGTGGGTTTGGACGGGACCGGACTGCCTCGAGTACTAACAAGGACGCTAGCGGAACGTCGCAGCCCGTCCACGCGATGAAGTGGCTGGGCAGCCGCTGCACCGTGACCGTGTACACGGACTTTAGCTGCACCGGCACGTCCGACTCGGCGCTGCAGTCGGGCGTTTGCATGGACTCGCCTACCACCGAAAACAAGAGCTTCAAGATTGTGTGTTAGAGGTAGCTGAAAATACATCTATGTGTCTACGATTGCTCTTAAATGTGCATCTCTCTCCCTATTCATGTGCTTCCGAATAGATTCCTCAACGAAAGACACACTTGTATAAAAATAGAATGATATTAGACACCCAAAGAATAGAAAGCAAAACCAAAAGATAATTGCATCAGCCGTGAATCGAACACGGGGCCCATCCTTGGGAAAGATGGATTTTACCACTAAACCACTGATGCTTTATGATGACGGTTGTGAATTGATCAAACCTGCCATTGTTTCATGATATATCGGCATCGCAAGCTCCCAAGAGCATACATACTTCCATGGCATCAGTGGGCCTAGTAACTAAGGTAGGTGCTCCCTTGGGTAGAAGGTGTGACGGGTATGACGGTATCCGCCTTATCTACCTAGGTACCTATAAGCAAACCAATAGAATACATGTGTCACTGAAATTCCATTTCAATGGGATATGTTATTTGGCATGTGTAGTAGAAACGAACGTTCAATCATTGGCAGTAGGTAGTATATAAGAATATCCTATTATAATCCTGTTGGTATGAAGCACAAGGACCTTGTCTATCATGACGGTAGGTAGGCCTCGAGTATCACTACTGACTTATCGAAATTGCACATACCTAGGTTACTGAAGCTGCCGAATGTATAATTGCTAGAGACATAGAACTTGCGCAAGTGCCTCGCATAAGAATGGATGGAGACACAGGCTTAGATGCCCTTTTGCCCCTTTACTCCTACTAGGTACGTACCTACTCACCTCAAGGGCTGGCTGTCCATTCAGATAACCGATGGGCAGTTGCAAATCTACCCAAGTAGCGTTTCTAAGCACTAAAGTGTAGCATAACACAGTTCAATGTAATCAACTTGCATCCAATGCAACGGTAACGGTAACGGTATCATCTCTATTCATCGTCCTACCCTGCGGTACCCTACCTACACCCCTTTCCCCCTTTCCCATCGCCCACTTCCTACCAAAACCACACCTAACCACTCACCATCTCATCCCTTTCTTCATACCAAGTGCAAGTCCGCGTTCCAATTCCATCACCCCACTTCTCCTAAAGAATCTCAATTGCCGGGCCGACTAGGCAGCGGCCTCGGGCCCACGATCTGGCGTCTTCCCGCGCCGATCCCCGCCGCGCCCCTGTTCTGGCTGTCGCCGCCGGTGAAGCCGCTCCACTGGCTGACGTCCCAGCGGCCGCCCACGCCGTCGACGCCGCCGCCTGGGCCGTCGCCCGCGCGCGCCGACGCCTTGGCGGCCGTCTCCTGCTGCGCCTCCTCCCACTCGCGCTGCCGCTGCCGCTCCAGCTCCATCTCCCGCTCCAGCAGCGACTTGCTGGCCCACCCGCCCGCCTTGGTCTTGGACTGCGACTCCGCGCGCCGCCGGTCCTCGCCGTCGCGCTCGGCCGTCGCGCCCAGTTCGCGCGCGTACGTCTGCGGCGGGGGCGCTGGCGCCGGCGCCGGGTTCGACGCGAGGAACCGGTCCGTGCGGTTGTTGTTGTTATTATTGTTATTGTTGCCGTTGCTGCCGATGGGGCTCGGGTGGGCGGACGGGATGGGCAGCGGTCGTGACGAGGGGGAGCCGCCGGTGGCCTGGTTCTTAACCCGGTCCGGAATGGGTAGGGGCCTAGCCTCGCCCGTTCGTTGGGGTTTCATCGGGAGCGGCGGCGCCTCGCCTGTGCGCTGCTTCTTCATGGGCAATGGGGCCGCGTTGTTGGCTCCAGGTACGGGAAGCGGGCGTGGTGGTGGCGGCGGTGGTGCGCTCTCTTCGAACTGTTCCTGTTGTCGCAGACGTGATGGTTCTTGTTGATGCCGATTCCACTGCGTGCTCAAGAACTCGCGCTCGTCCTGTGGCCGCCACGAGTCCTGGCGACTAGGCGGCCTCTCGGGTTTTCTAGGTCGACTGCGAGACCGCGCCCGGTTTTGCGATCGCGATCGCTTCTGTCGTTCTTCTTCGTATTCTTGCTCCCGCTGCCTAGCTAGCTCTAGTTCCTGCTCTAACTGTTTAATACGATCGCTGTGACCGCCGCCGCCGCCGCCGCCGCCGCCGCCGCCACTCTTTTGCGGCTTGATAATACCTTGTTCGGCCTGGTATTGACTGAGGAACTGTCCTTGTAGCCGACTATCATTTTGAGCTTTGGCGCGACGGCGTTCCTCGACCAGCTTTATCTCGGCCTCCTCTTCCTCCCTTCGTCGTTTCTCTTCCGTCATCTTCCATTGGCGCTCTTCCTCTTCCCACCGACGTCTTTCTTCTTCGGCTTTGCGCTTCTCTTCTACTCGAAGTCGTCGCGTCTCTTCTTCCCATCTGCGCTCCTCTTCTAACCGTGCCCATTCCTCCTCGGCTTCTAGTTCCGCCTTACGGATGCGCTCTTCCTCTTCGGCTTGCAACCTCTGGCGTTCGGCTTCGACTTCTTGCTCTTTGCGACGGCGCTCCCTCTCGGCAAAGCTAGGTACTTGAGGACTGGCGCTGGTGATCTGCCGTCGCCCTCCGAAAGAGATTCCCAGGTTGCCTTGGCTTGCGCCGCCCATGTAACCGTATTGAGCAATATTCCAAGCGGGGCTCGTAACCCCTTCGTGGTCTCTCTTGCTCCAGCTAGACACGGACGGTGATCCTACCCGTTCGCTCGTAGGGGTAGGGCTCTTGGTAGGACTCCAGCGGCCCGAACCCGAGTCTCCGGTCCTCGAAGGGACGAGACCAGACCGCGAGCCGTATGCAGATGAATTATTGCTAGCAGTAGACATGCCCCGGTTCCTCGGAGTAGTCGGGCCCGTGCTTTGGGGGCTCATATTGGTGCCGCCCCTCGCTTTTTGGCCTACGGGCGAGGGGAAAGAGGAAGGGTTGACAGAATGCGCAGCGCGAGAGAAAGCGCCGAGGCACTGTAAAACTTGGGCGGGATCTTTTCGTTCGTAAAGGTCGACGGTAAGAAATATATCGTGGTCTTGTAGATTTAGAGGCGGAGACTGGCAGGCGCGGAGAAAATGAGAGATATTCTCCATCTGGATAAAGGGCATGGCGGATTGCTTGAACTTGACACCGGGCGGGCCGATGGCGAGATTGACGAGTCTTATAACAAAACGACACATTAGCTAGTCTATTATGATAAATACTTATACATATATACCTACTTGCAGAGGGCGACGCCATCTTTTAAGCCGTCGAGAAGATCGTTAGAGGGAAGTCGATCGCCGAGAACACCTTCGATCCACGACCGGGTTTCGTTCGCAGCAGAAGGCGTGTATTTATCTAGTCGCAATTTACGCAAGTCCTTATCCAAGGACGTAACTGACGCCATGATCTATTACGGTTCTACTGGTACTGATTTCTGGACGGTGTAGGTACTCAGTATTGTACCTTGCGGTATCTGTATCTTATAGGTTCGTGGGTGACGGTGGAGCAATGGGATGTGAGATAGTTATATACGATATACGATATACGATATACGATAGGTATGGCGCAATATCGAATACCCCGTCGACGTCGTTTGTTGGTACAGCCAAGTGATTCGTACGGCAGGTCAGGGTGGCCAGGGTGGTCAGGGTGTGTATATGCGATTCGGAGATTTGTTGGCTGTGGAATGAGAGGGTGTTTGTGTTGCGGGATGAGATGAGACGACGTCACCGGCAGTGGGAACTGGTATGTGTCGTGTCGTTGCTCTGCGAGAATTGGTGATCCGGGTTGAATCCTACAAAAAAAAACATAGGATTTTACTAATCAAATCGTTATTTTGTTCTTTAGGTTAGGAATATTAAATGCCGTTTCATCGTTAGAAATTAGTAGAATTGTAATTGTATGGAATTATTAAAGGTTAAAAGTGTTTCCCCCACCACCCATCACACAAAACTTTAGAGAGAAGAAACAGGCTACGGTGATAGGATGCCCGCTAGGTTCCCAGTTCCCACTAAACGTCACACCCCCCCGGCCTCCATTGGGCTGCAATGCCATTGGAACAATCCTTGAGGCTTGCGTACTACCCTTGCCTTGGCATGGGGACCCCCGGTGCTGAGACGGGAGTTAAAATAAAAGTGGCGGTGCAAATGCATCTAGTACGAATCTTATCGGTCTTATCGGCATCTTCAATATCTCATCTCGAGAAACAAAACATTTCATAATTCTGACGTCGACTCACGCATTCACTTTATTCCCCTTTCGAAGGTGTATCATGTCCTAAACCACATATAGAAATGTCGGCCAAGCAGATCAGTCCCCTACGAAAAGCCTGGTACCAATGGAAGGCCCTGCGTCTGCCGTGGAGAAAACGCTTTCTCGTCGGTGAGTTTTCTCATTCTCACTCTCACTCTCACTCTCATCCTTACCTAACTCCCCCTACCCCTGATTACCGCCTATACATACCTATACCCATACCTATATACCCACTTCACATATACACACATACACACACAAGGTACACACAACTCACACCCCCCAGGCCTCGACCTCCAAGGCAACACGTACTGGGAGTTCCGGCTGTCGCGGCACGGCGACGCCAACGCGGCCTCGTCGGACGCGCGCTGGCGCCGCATCGTGGAGTACCCGCGGTCCGCGCAGTACAGCGACGTGCGCGTGCCGCCGCCGTGGCACCAGTGGCTGCGGTACCGGCGCGAGCGCGCGCCCTCGCTGCCCGAGCAGGCCGCCGACCTCGCGCGCCAGCGGCGCGTCAAGCTGCTCGCCGCCGAGGCCGACGCGCGCTGGGACGCCAAGCCCGGGTATCTCGATGCGCCGCCGCCGCCGCCGGCTGCGGAGGAGGCGCCCGGGAGCGGCGCGAGGGGCCAGCCCGTGCCGCCGTTGAATACCGCCCCTGCGCAACCCCAGGAGCATGCTGCGCGGGAGTCGCCCGTGCCGAGTGAGCCGGAGATAGTAGGTGCGCAGCAGACGAGTAGATCAGCGGTGCCAAAGGAAAAAGAAAACGAGAAGGAAAAGGAGAAAGAGGACCCCTGGAAGCGAGCACGGCCGAGCACACCCGGCGAGACGTGGCAGCCCGAAGCCTGGACGCCGACGCCGGCGAGGAAACGGTGAGGAGAAGGGAAGTGACAGGACAGCTGCGACCAGCGTAGCAATGTATTATTGTGTAGAGCTACATATTGTACATTATTACCAATACCTCCTTTAGCCAGCATGCGAAAACAGCAATGGAGAGGGTTTTACACATCTAATAGACACAATGAGACCATCCGGTAAACTCCGTACCTTGATGCAACCCGCCTAGTACCCTTCCATGTTCCA